ACATCTAGAAAATCTATGGGGGATAATATCTAAAGTCTTTAGGGCTGTGTAATTATATGAGAATTTGCTGTCATGACAGTTGTGCTCAACTGCAGATTCTGTCAGTCCATGGTTTCCTACTTTAGCAAGGACAGAGCACAAGGCAGAGTGGTCTTCTGTGAAGTTAAAACTCTGGAATCATTTTCCTTTGCTGATTGAACAGCGTTTCAGCTTACTGTGATTTTGGATAAGGGAAACTTATGCCTACTCTAGAGGGATAGAATTCAGATTTGCTCTGGAGTGAATTTGGATGCCATTCATTTTATGTAGCTTTGTATATCTATTTGAACCATAATATTCCACAAGTTTTAAAATATCTCAGTAAGGAAAATTTTGATTACCAAGGTGAGAGGATTGCTCGAGCCCAGGAGTTTGAGACCAGCATGGATAACATAGGGCGACCCCATCTCTACAAAAAAACTGTAAAAAAAAATTAACTGGGCTTGGTAGTGCACACCTATAGTCCCATCTCTTGGAATGCTGAGATGGGAGGATCACTTGAGCTGAGAATTTGAAACTGTAGTGAGCTATGATAATGTCATTGCACTCTAGCCTGGGCGACAGAGTGGAAACTTGTCTCAAAAAAAGTTTTAATAGATAAATTCATGTAATACATGTCATCTTACTATGTACAACTCTTATTTTTAATTTATCTTCCAACAATTAGGTAATCTGAAAAAATTGATGGTTTGTGCACATGATCATTGGGCTAAATTTTTTTTTTCATTCAGTAGTATTTATTGATGAGCTATTCTGTGGTATGACCTCTGAGATGTGTATTCTCTTTCCTATAGAAAATATAATCCAAGAAAGAAGATAAGTATAATGCAGGACATTTGAGAACTGAATTAATGGTAAAAGTAATGTTTATTATCAAAGGTCATAGCGAATGATTAATTCTAGCCGGAGAAATTAATTTAGGGCTGGGACTATCTTGGCAGAGACATCAGCTGAGTTGATCCTTCAAAAACTGCATTACTTGGATAGATAAAAAATTTATGGAGATTGGGGCAAGGAAGGGAATGGAAGGAAGGACATTCTAATCAGAGGGAATGACTTAAGATGTGAAGATAGAATTCCAATGTTTAACGGATGGCAGACAGACTAATGTGAATGGGAAGGGTTTCTTTGGAATAAGGAGAGATTAGAGTTTTGAATGTCAAACTGTAAGGAGCTTGAGCCTCATTCATTTGCTAGTATCTGACAATCTTAAAATCAGTTTTTAGCTCTCAAAATTACATTATGGCTTGCTGTTTTAAAAATTACCCAACATGCATCTACTGTTAGCTAATTTTTTTCCCTTTGCCACCATTCTTTGTTTATAATATATGAAGGATTTGTGTTTTGTTTTACAAAAATTATTGGAAATGTTAACATGGCACAGAATACTAACAATACTATGTCTATTGTTTTATATTGTTTTATAAAACTTTTTGTCAGAGTGGTAAGCTGGCTGCACTAGTTATTTTTAAATAGCTGTGTGTTCTAAGAAATGGAAGAAAAGTACATTGTAAAACTATAGATTCCGTCTCTCATTCCTGATAATTGCTGGCAGAAGCTTAACTCTATGGGATTAGAGACTTTCATACCATTCAGCTTCATATAAGATCTGAGAATGAAGTCCCCATGATACTGATAAGCTTCCCTAGTTGTGTTAAAAAGAGTAGGGATGTATCTCCTTCTCTCCCCAGACAGACAGTTTGACACTAATGCTTTAAAAAAAATTGTGGTCATGTAAGAGTGAGGTTTGTTCAGTATATTGTGGTAGAAAGAGCACTAAGAACCAATGTCAGTTTCTTAGTCTTAGTTTGTCACCATCTGTGTGAATAATCACCAACCTCTTTGACCACCAGTTGCCTCATCTGATAAGAGATTAGATTTGATAAATTTGGAGGTTCCTTCTAGGTCTAAGATTCCATCATTCATTACTTCTTTTTTTAAATTTTTTTGTCTGGCTCTTAAGATTTCTGCTGGCATAACTCCTTTCTTAAATATTGTTTCTCTGAGCATGTGTGTCTTTCTTAAGTTGGCATACTAGCTATTCAGAAATTGAGGTAAAGAACATACCTATGCCTTTGAGTAATTATTGTGTTGATTGAAGACTGATTCTGCAGGTACACTTCTGTGGTCCAGGAGGTTGTAGTCTAATCCTGGCCTGTACCTTTTGTTGTAACTTATGGTGCGGAATTTAGGTATTTACCAGCGTATTGTAAGTGCCTAACAACAGCAACAAAATTCAGGTTACGTAGTGGTACATATTAAATTCCATTTTATAAAGTTCAAGATGTGAAAATACTTTCGTTATTCTGAAATTACTCCCAAAATCACTCTGTCTCTAGAAACCACAGTTGGAAAGATCCTTGGAGAATGTGAGTTTCTTTCATTTTTACAGTTGAGAAAACATAAGACCCGAAGAAAAGTATCCTGTCCAACTGAAAAAGTAAAACTCAAATTTCCTGCTAGTTGCTTATTTTCTCTATTTTGTATTTACCCTAGCAGAGCACAATTGCCTCTAGGTTTTGGCACCAGAAATGAAATAATGATCATCTGGCTTTTATCAGGGAACTGGAAAGAAACAGGCTAGGTGATTATATTTTGACATTGTTCTCAAAGTAATACATACAGACTCTCAGAAGCAAGTCAACTAGTAATAAGTAGACTCAAAGTGAATAATTCATTTCATCCTTGAAACTAGGAAGCTAAGAAAGAGATAAATATAAAGAAATAAATTAGAGATAATTGTCAAAAAAGTTAAAAATCAGGAAATAGTATAAACTAATTTTTTAGAAATATAGAGGACAATATTTTTATCTTTAGTTTAAATATGCAAAAAATGAGGCCAGGCGCGGTGGCTCACGCCTGTAATCCTAGCACTTTGGGAGGCCAAGGTGGGTGGATCACCTGAGTTCAGGAGTTCAAGACCAGCCTGGCCGTCGTGGTGAAAAAAAAAAAACAAAAATAAAAATGAGGCTGGTGATAGTACCTTTTTAAAAGGGCTGTTGTAATGATTAAGTGAGGTAATCCATATACGGGGGTTAGAAAATAGTATTTGATTCTGAATACGCAATAAATTTGCCCATTGTTTATTGTTAATAAATGATAAACACATTCCAAGTGAGCTGAAGGAAATACACAAAAGCTAAGAGGGTGACTGAGAGCAAGGAGAAGTCCTCTGTGGTTAGAATGGTTAGGTTAAGGCCCCTGAGAAAATGAGCAGAGGATGAGACAGTACCAGCTGTGTAAGGGGAAAGAACATTCTAGGCCAAAGAGGTAATGTGTGCAAAGGTCCTGAATTTAGAAAGAGGCTATGATGCTTTAGGAACTGAAAGAAGGCCAGGAACTATATGATAGTTTGTTCTTCCCTCATTTCTTCATTTTATACTGTCTACTTCACTAGAATAGTTGTTCTTCAAGGGCAGTGATGACATCTGACTTCTTCCCAGCTGTTTTCTTCACACCTGTCAGGTTGGCACAGAATTAGTATTTATTAGATGCTTGATAAAAAATTAAGTGCTTATTGCTTGCTTAACAACTAGTGCCTTATGGGTAAGGATTTTTCTTTCTTTCTCCTCTCTTCATACAAGAATAAACTAAGATGCCGTAAGTTGTATATGGTAACTTTTTAATTAAAAAAAAATCATTTGAAGAAATGGACATAAATGTGTAAAGTATTCAAATAAGTTCTAAGATACCAAAATTTTATATTTGGGCTTGTATCAGTGAGTTTCATAAAATACAAAAGTCATGCTTAAAAAATTTTAAGTATTTAGCTGTTTTATATCTCTAACTGTACTGTTAAGTTCAAACTACTTTGATAGGTTGGGTTAAATGCTATGTAGGTTGGTCCTGGTTTATTCCTGTTGTCCCGGTGTCTAGTCCTATTTCATAATGGTCTCCTTTCACTCTAAATGCGTTACTACTGTTTGGATCATGAATTTTACTTTATTTTTTGATATATATCTTTTTCTTTTTAGAGACAAGGTCTTGCTACGTTGGCCAAGCTGGTTTTGAACTCCTGGCCTCAAGCAAACCTCCCCCTCAATGGACAGTGAATTTTATGATGACCCTAATAGTCGTTTTACTGTTCTGCTAGTGCCCTCAAATCTTGTCTTTCATTAACTGGTGTTTCATTCTGTACTTAGATAGCTTAAATATAGATTAAATAGCTGATTTGCCCCAGCTGTGTTTTGTAGGATATTGCATCTAATATTTTATAATTTACATGGGCCCTTGTATGAAATCAAGGGATTGACAACATGGGATGCTTGTTTTAATTTCATACAAAACACTTGGATTTTGTTTTAGAAATGCTCTATTTCTAAAATGTTTCTACCAAACACCCATATTTTGACAACATGTTTTTTCAAAGTGATATGAATTCTTACGAATGTTTCATTCTGCAATAAATGGTTGTGATTATATAGTCATACTGGTTAAATATGACAACTTTTTCAGAACTCACTGTTAGAAATAGTAAAACCTTAGACATTTGGACCATTCTCCCTCTCCTTCACTGAAACAAGTATTCACATTTCAATGTGCCTGGCACATATGTGCTGGAAGTACTGTGATGAGCAAGAACACGGCTTCTGCCCTCAGAAACTTGTAGTTTAAAAAAAAGAAAGTCCTTTCTTCCTGGGACAATAGGTGAATCAGAAGCTGAGGTTACCCTATGATGTTTTAGAAAAGATGGGGATTGTTGGGGGTAGGGGAGCTAGCCCAGATGAACAAGAGAGTATCAGATGGCCTGTACAGACTTATAGAAATTGTACACTCTACTCTCCCTTTCTTTTTTGTTTTTTTGAGCAGGTTCTCTGTCTGTTGCCCAGGCTGGAGTACAGTGGCTTGATCGTGGCTCACTGCAGCCTCGAATTCCTGGGCTCAAGCAATCCTCCTGCCTCAATTCCTGAGAAGCTGGGACTACAGCGTGCGTGCGTGCGTGCGTGCGTGCATGTGTGTAGATGAGATCTCACTCTGTTGCCTAGGCTTGTCTTAAATTCCTGTCCTCAAGCGATCCTCCTGTCTCAACCTCCTAAAGTGCTGAAAATACAAGCATGAACCACCATGCCTGGCCTCCACTATCCCTTTCTATTTGTGGTGGTCTCAAATATTTTGGGTTTGAATGGGAGGGGGGCATGTATATTTGACGACTTGTTTTGTTTTTGTGAATGAAAATGAAAATTTATTCCCAGTAAGTGCAAGCTTTAAGTGAAGCACTCAGTTTATGAGGTCTTACTGATGTTTCCTCTCTAGGTACTGCAGTTAAAATCTTCCTGGTCTAAAATGGTAAAAACTATTGAGGTATTCAAATGATAAATACTTCATGAACTGAGATTGTATTGAAAATGGAGAGCTCTGATAGAAAGGTTGACCCTGGCATTTATATAAGGAAAAAGACAACTTTTGTCTCCCTCTACACAGAAAGCTATATTCAGTAGTTACAGGATTTGTACATTGTGAATCCTGAAGGGATCTCTAAACATCTGTGTCTTTAGAAGTAGTGTCACCTCTAGTAAAAGAGGGCCTGTAGAATTGAGTAGTGGCAGCCTGTGATGTATGTGAATTTTGTCTGCAAGTCTCTAGTGACTGTTTTCTCCAATTCTATTTAGTAAAATTATACTTAATTTCAGTTGTTAATATGTGCTTCCAAAGTAAAGTCCATACTTGTTGAATATGATATGGTAAAAACCAAATACTTATTTGGAGACAGTGGAGGGGATGGTAGTAATTGAGAGACAGTGTCAGATGGAGCAATGGCTTTACAATTGTTTTGACTGCAATCCACAGTTAGACATTTCACATTGCTGCCCCATGACAACATCCCTATCCACCACCACCCAAAAACAAGTTATTTATCAATCTTGCTATAAGCAACGGTGACTGATTTGTTTTTTTTCCTACTTTATTTAAAAAGAAAATGATAGTCTCAAACCCTTACGTTAATGTTACAGCACATTAATTCTACAGATTGTTCTAACACTTAGAACTAAAAGTGTTCAAGATTCGATTTTGTTACATTCTCTGTGTAAGCTTAAAGTTACTAACTTTTCTGAGTTTCCATTTTATTGATTAAAACTGGGATAATAAAAGTATTTTACACCATGTTATAACTTGGTTAGAATGACATAACCTGAGTGAGGTGGTTGTTCCAGGCACTTACTAACCACACAGTCAATGGGTATGTTCTCTCCGAAGTTTGTTAGCGTAGGGAATTGGGAGGATGCCACTGATAATAATGGTGACACTTATTCAGAGGAAAACTAATTCCGTTTAGACATGCTAGAGTTTAGTCATATCACTTGGAAGCAAACCAATGTAAAATAGTTTCAAATAAGCAAATTTTTAAAAAATGTTAAATGCAAACCAAGCAGTATTAAAGCTTTGGAGACTTAATGATTGAGTCTTCTTAAAGCTACAGAAGATTGACTAAATACACCTACAACTGTTTCACTCTACCAGATTTCTGTTAACATTCTCCAGAATTTAAACTGCAGAATCAGTCATTTATATGACTGTTTGTCTGTATTAGCAGAGATATGACATGTATCAGAGATAGGTAGTTATGGGGAAATAATACAAGACTTGGAATTAAACCTAGAGTAGATGATTTATACAAAGTAACCCACCAACTACCTTAATTTCTATGATTCAGTTTCTTCATCTACAAAATATTATTTCACAAAATTGCAATTGTCAAAGGGACAAGTAAATGTAGGGTCCCTGGAAAAATGTTTAGTGAAATGTTATTTTATCATAATAAAAAATGTATGATTGGTTTTCAGTTTAAGATTGAATCAAGCATAGCATTCTTTGTAATGGCAGGAGATTAATAACATCCTAGAATATGTCTTTAAAAGAAGTATGGATAAAGAATCCATATGCACCTTTGCACACATTTTATGTAATAATGATGCTATTAATTTACAAAGTATGTAGGATATTAAAACCAAATTCTTAATACCTTATCTTGATTCTTTTAAAATCTGACTAATGTGTGTGCAAGATATTATTAGATGAAGTGTTTGTCCAGTAGCTTAGCTTATAAATAACCCCTGTTCTAGCTCATTTTAAACAATGTAGTATGAATGATGCCAAAAAAACAGGCTAGAACATTTTCTTCTTTCAAGATCTTAGATTTTGTAAACAAGGCTCTGCTCCTGGAACGAATCTAGGTCATCATAACCCAAAATTGTTTTAAAGATGAGAGCTCCAATTAAGTCTCTTAGGTATTTCTTAGTATTTTAATTTTAAGAATGTGCTTAACTCTTAAAATAGTATATTTGCATTGCTTTTTGGCCATTTGGTTTGTTTGTACGTTGTTATTATGAATGCAAGTCAGTGGATAATCATTGCAGCAAATATGATTGCTAGGAATCTCCTGTAAGTAGAAGTCAATATAATGTATGGCTTAATTTATCCCTGAACTGACATCACATTTTGTTAATAAAAACTAATTTAATTAGATCATCAATTTCTCTATCTACAACTGTTAATAATGTTAAATTTTAACTATTGTTCAGTCTTCATTACAAATTATTCAGCTGTTAAATTGTTGTTAGATGTGACATTATGTAAGAAACTTTTTTTGTTTGTTTGTTTGTTTGTTTGTTTGTTTTTGAGATGGAGTTTCGCTCTTGTTACCCAGGCTGGAGTGCAATGGTGCGACTTCGGCTCACCGCAACCTCCACCTCCTGGGTTTAGGCAATTCTCCTGCCTCAGCCTCCTGAGTAGCTGGGATTACAGGCACATGCCACCATGCCCAGCTAATTTTTTTTTGTATTTTTAGTAGAGACGAGGTTTCACCATGTTGACCAGGATGGTCTCGATCTCTTGACCTCGTGATCCACCCGCCTCGGCCCCCCAAAGTGCTGGGATTACAGGCTTGAGCCACCGAGCCCGGCCTGTAAGAAACTTTTTAAAAATCACCGTCTTTGCTCAAGATTTGTGTCATTCCCATTGTTATTAATACAATGTATGACTAATATATGCTAATGTAGTGCCACTATTTGTGTGTGTGTGTGTGTGTGTGTGTGTGTGTGTGTGTGTGTGTGTGTGTGTATGCAGACATACGGTCACATCTGTAGACCTGGTGTCTGCAAAGGGAGAGAGGAAACTTAAAATTCAGAGCCAAGTACTGACCTAGGTGGTTTATAGCACTTAGAGAAATTATTATTCCCACTTTACAAATAAAGGAATAGATTCAGACAGGTTAAATAATTTGGTAACATATCCTGTAAGTGGAAAGAGCTTGAATTTGTGGCTTTCCTCCATTATGTCTTGCTGCTTTAAGGGGTCTTTCCAATAATGAGGCTGGATTTTGTAAAACATGTTTAAACTGCCAAATCTGAACATTTTCCTCTATTCTTCAAAGATTGTTAGGAATAGAAGTATCCCATTTGTGTAGCACATTGCTGCTTTCAAAATAATTTTATCCTGACCTATTTGATCCTTACAACGTACCAACATTGCAGACAAAGAATGAAGAGTTTCAAAGAAGTGCTTAAGATCAGAGGTAGGATTTGGGCCAGAAGCCACATTTGTGGTCCCTTATTCAGTGTCTTTTTTGAGTTCCTTTTCACTTTCTCTGTATTAGGTGATCTGTGATCATGAAGAAGTGAAGTTTTACAGATTGAACCTTTTATTTAGTCTTTGTGATCACACTACAGCTACAACTGGCCTGTTTAGCAGTCAGATCCTATTTTTCTGTGTTATAAGCAGTGTATTAATGGCAATTTTGAGGTCTAATGAGGCTGTAGTTGTGGTTATTGAATGAATAATAAATGGAAAATGCTTACATGAGATTTCTGTATTTAAACTTTATTTTTGTGTAATGCCATATTTGCCTTATGGAAACATATGTAAGAAAAAATTGTTAAGGAAAAGTTACTCGTGGTTAAAAGCACACACATTAGATTCAGAAAGACATAAGTTTGAATCCTGGCTTTATCCACTTGGTTCTGTTTACTTGGGTAAGTAACAAGCCAGTTTCCTCATCTGTGAGCGTAACAACTACCTGAGAATCCGAGAAGAGTATGTAAAGGGATTAGCATTATGCCTGGCCCATGGGCCAGTAAGTAGTGGATATATGTATATGTGTGTATATATATATGTGTGTGTGTGTGTGTGTGTGTAATAATTATTTAACATACATATATGTATAGTAGCTATTTAATCATTACCTTTGAAGGGTTCTTTTTTCTACCCACAATATATTTTTTTGTTTAGAAAGTCTCAAATATGGCATGATTATCTCTTAAAGTATCTTACTATCAGTAGATCTCAATTATTTCTGCTAACAGAAAGCACAGATGATCTGAAATAGTTATTTGAAATCTTTCCATTTTATATTTGGAATATATAGTTTTAAAAACCTTTGTAAAAGATCTACTATTGTATTTGTTTCCTTACAGGAGCATAGTACGTTTCCTGAACTGGTCCATTTAGAGAACATACTTAACAACCATGCTAGGTGGGTTCCGGTGGGGAAAGGAGGCTTGTCCTGGTTGGGGACTGAGAATTGAGAATCTGGGACTAGCACTTATGTAGAATTTCATGTTATTCAGATTCTTAGTTTGTAGCCTTGAGATTTACAAAGTAGGTAATGTGCCATCATTTTATAGCATACCCATTATTTAATTTTGTGTACAGGATGAGCAAATTGGGGAAAAGCAAGATTTTTTTCAAAAATATATGAAGCGCTGTTCTGAAATTTATTGGAAAACTAGCAGCATAGAAGGGAGCATTTCACTAAATAAAATTCTGTCTCACTTGAATTTAAGTTTTTAAGATGGCACATCTACTTGGAGTGTCTTTTACCATTTATAATTGCATGTTGTGATAAATACATTTAATGTTTTTTTCTATAAGTTCTTTTTGTATGACATCAGTCAATAGTTTTATATTATAGATATATATGCTATCACTGGCCTTTAATTTTAAAGTTTAAGGATTATAACTGAAAGGAAATATTCCAAAACAACCTTGGGACTATATATTATAGGAGATAGGAAAAGGTTAATTTTGTAATATAAATTTTTTAATCAAAAAAAATTTTAATTTGATTTCTTTAACTTCTAGTTGTGACTTGTAAACTTTAGATCTAACTTCCTTATTAGAACAATGAAGATGGTCAAATAAGATGTTATACTTGTGCTAGTCACCTCCCATGATTGTGAAATCAAATCGAATACTGTATACGATATAAATCAGGCCTGGTGCTAGGTAAACAATTAAGTAGTCATAGTACCTACCTTTAAAGCACTTAAAGTATGATATAGGAGACTGTCATTAAACCAGTCATTTGTAAACAGCCTACATTCTATGAGCTAATTATTAAAGAAAAGGTACATTGACTAGTCTTGTTACTGGTCTTGGATTAGGAAGTTGTACAGATGAGAAAACTGAAGCTCATAGTGGTTTAATAATCTTATACGTGGTCTCACTGTTCGTAAATGTTAGATTCATGTTTTGAACACAGGTTGGCCCACCTCCAAAATCCTTGCTCTCTCTACCATGCCATTCTTTATCTGAGATACCTACCTCCGGCTTACTGTGTTTCCAAACTCAAATTGTTATTTCTCAGGGGGCTTAGCAGTTCTCCCTCTGGCTAAATGTGGAGCCAGTGATCAGATTCTTTTTTTAAAGTAATGAGATTTCTGTAAAGCAATAAACCTCTTCTAGGTTTTATTTCTTGTGTAGTATAAAACTCCAGGAATCCTAGAAGCTTCTTCAGGGGTAGGAATCTTGTAGGTTCTGAGACTGATAGGAAATTGCATGCTATTTGTGGCTTCTCACTTAAAAATAGCCTCATAGTGCTCATGGGGCACTTTAGTAACTCCAACATTTCCATCAGCCTCCACTCCCTAACCCCAAGACACGCAAGATAAAGCTCTGAGTAATAAACGGCTTGCTTCTGCTGCAGCCTCAGCCTACTCCCACAAACCTTTCCTGCATAGAAATCCTAGAGCCACCACTGATAATGCATTTTGTAGGAAGAAAGCAAATAATGAGTTTCATTGCTTTAAAAGTTTGAAAACCTTTAAAAGTTTGAAAACCATCATCCTAGTTGATGGGACATTCAGGGGAAATATTTCTAAAATGAGAAAAATTTTTAATTCATCACGTCTCTTCATCCCCTACTACCTTCATTGACTCTCCCAAACAACTTTGTAAGCTGGGGAGGGATTTTTGCTATTAAAGTTCGTGGAGACAGTATGAACTGGTAAACTGAAGCCCAGTACTTGAAATATGAGAAAAGTCTAAGTTTTATATCTCTGGGTAATTTTATGATGAGGAAAAGTAAATGAATTTAAGCTAAATGTCACTGTTCTATGTATCAAAAGACATTGTATTGTAAATTCTTGAATTGTCAGAGATTCCTAAGGAACTGATAATTTTTCCTTTCTGAATCTTTTTCTAGTGAGTCTGGTAACCTGTTTTCCTTAGCCCTCTTAAAAGGCACTGTATGCATTTGAGAAGAGACCATTTCAGGACCTGTCCCATTTTGAATATGTAACAGGTTGCGCTTTTCTAGGAATTAAAGTTAGTTGTAAAATACTTTATAGTTCTAGGTATATGAAAGTTGATGCTTTATTCTGATTGTTGTAAATTTTTGTATTTACACATTTTTCAGAGGGTTTCACTCGGTAGAACCTGATTTAATTCTAATGTGAAGTAATTGATTCCCTCCACAACCCTTCTTTGTCTTCGGTTTTGGGTGAATCACTAACTGAAATAAATTTTTGTCTTAAAATTCCTCTCTGTTTTAAAAGCAGCTAAAGAGAGGCATTTCAGGGGCTTACGCTAGAATGCTCTGCTATTATCAGTCTACTATTCTTTCCTTTCGAGTTGCCTAAACACAGCTGAGTTCATAAGAGGAGCAAAGAAAACATGACAGTGCTGCCAAGTAGACAGGAAGCTGTAGTGGACCTAGCGAGCAGTGGAGGTTGAGCACACCCTCTGTCCAATCAGCTGTGAGTGCTGTTGCTATGTGCGCTCTTACTCTGCTGCCTTTGTGAAAAACCTTACACGGAGGGAAGCGAAATCAGCACCCAACGCTGAACATTTGTTTTAACTGCTGCAGACATCTGGATCCCTCAGTTACTGACAGTATAGCTATTGATAGCCAGAAGGCAACTTCTTTTATACAAGGATTCCAGTATGGTTTTCAGTGGAAACAAAGGGCTTCACAGAGAAGGTGTGTAGTGAAGTGTTTTTAACGGCTTTATTTTTAAGCTTCCAATTTTCTGTAGCTATTTACCAGTTGGTTGTGGTGCTTGCTTTGCATGGATTTTTAATAAATAGGTCTAGGAAAATTAGCTCACTTTGAAAACCATCGAACTTAGAGAATTTTCTTTAGCTTCATATATCCTGCTTTCTTTGAACAGCAGTACTGAAAAGATTATTAAAATGCTAAACTGAACAATGAGTAGAAAGAAAAGAAACCAAATACAATGTGCTCACTTTAATGGGGAAAAAATGTGATAGAAATGATGAGAATACAGGGAAGAGAATGTGCATTAGCCAGAAGCATTAACTGTATGCGGGGGC